AAAAAAAAAAAAAACTCATTAACTGATGAACATCTAGTAAAAAAACACTTCTACTCGAAAATAAAAAAAGAACATTCAGCGAATCAACTTATTTCAATTATCATAATCATTTTTTCTTCCTAACTTTCAGACATACACTCCCGAGAGCCCAGCTGATGCCACCCGCAACCTCTCCCAGCAGAACCTAAACGCCCTGGCCAAAGTCCTCCCGGGCCTCCTAGGTGGCAGTGCTGACCTGGCCTCCTCCAACATGACCCTCCTCAAAACATTCGGCGACTACCAAAAATCAACTCCCGAGCAGCGTAACGTTCGGTTTGGGGTCCGCGAGCACGGCATGGGCGCCATTTGCAACGGGGTCGCCCTTCACTCCCCGGGCCTCATCCCTTACTGCGCCACTTTCTTCGTTTTCACTGATTACATGCGTGCCGCCATGCGTATCTCCGCCTTATCCGAATCCGGCGTTATCTACGTCATGACCCATGATTCGATCGGGCTCGGAGAAGACGGGCCTACACACCAGCCCATCGAGCACCTCGCCAGCTTCCGGGCCATGCCCAATATACTAATGCTCCGGCCAGCCGATGGGAACGAAACTGCCGGAGCTTACAAGGTAGCTGTCCTCAACCGGAAAAGGCCCTCCGTTCTCGCGCTTTCCCGCCAAAAGCTGACTCAGCTGCCCGGGACCTCCATTGAAGGAGTCGAAAAGGGAGGTTATATCATCTCTGATAACTCCTCGTCTGGTAGCAATAATCCTGATGTGATCTTGATTGGGACGGGCTCGGAATTGGAGATTGCAGCGAAAGCTGCAGATGAGCTGAGAAAGGAAGGGAAGGCTGTGAGGGTCGTTTCGTTAGTTTCTTGGGAGCTTTTTGACGAGCAGTCGAACGAGTACAAGGAGAGTGTTCTTCCATCTTCGGTTACTGCTAGGGTTAGCATCGAGGCGGGTTCGACTTTTGGGTGGGGAAAGATCGTGGGAGGTGAAGGGAAGTCAATTGGGATTGATAGATTTGGGGCGAGTGCTCCTGCCGGGAAGATATATAATGAGCTTGGGATTACAGTTGAATCTGTTATAGCTGCTGCTAAGGAATTCTTTTAGATCCGGTTGGGGCTTTTTTCAAGGTTCTTGTTCGACTGTGGAAAGAAAGCACATGGAAGGACTGACTTCATCTGGGGTGGCTGAGCAGGTACTTTTTCGCAATAAAGATGACCTTTTTTTCTTTTTTTTTTTTTTTTTTTTTTTGCTTTCTTGAAAATGGAAGTGATCGGGGGAGATTATAGGCGAGCTTGTGAGTCCTCCTGGATTGTACACTTGAACACCAGTCTCAGTTTTTTGTATGTCAAAATGTGTTTTTGTTTGATTTCTTTTCAAGTTTTTTTATCCTGAGGTGATTGAATTGGATTAGATTATATGACTTGAAGAAAATTCAAGGCATGTGTTCAAGGTAGGGTAAAACTAATCTCTTGAAGAAAATTGAGACTCTTCAAAGCAATACAAAAGTGTGTGGTTGTTGGATGTGTGGTTACTTATTATGTTTTGGTTTGTTGAGGATTTCTCATTTCAGGTCCTAGCTCGGTTGGTAATGAAAATTTGGACTCTTTTAGTTTTGGGCAATTTTTTATGTGAGGCAGCAGACGTAACAGTTAGACAGGACGATACGTGATATTTCGTTATACGATAAGATGAGAGGCCAAATAATGCAGTGGTTGGTGGCTGTAGTTGGTGGGGTAAGGCCGAGCTGAGCTCAGGGTGCTCGAACTCGACTCATTTGTCAATGTTTACGAGTTGATCTCGAGTTTTAACGAGTCAAACTATATATATAAAAATTCGAGAGTTGAGCCTCCCAAAGTTTCTTTTTGATTCAAAAAAGGAAAATTCTTGTTTTTTCGCATTCTTTTTTTTTATACCAAAAACTCGTTAATGGAACAAGCTTTAAGCGAACTCGAACTGGGCTCGTCTATCAAACTAGTCAAGCCAAACACACGAGCGACTCGTTTGATTTAACAACTATACTTACACACACAAATCACCTCTCAATCTCACTTCGGATTATCTAATTAAAAAATTAAAATCCTAATTTTGACCATCCAAAAACCATTTATTTATTTTTTTAAAAAGGATTTTGGCAGACAAATGTAGTTGGTGAATGGTGAGAATTGAAACAAGTGAAGCTACAGTTTGTCCCGCCAACCCCTACAATTTCTACCTCAAAACCAACCTAACCCTCAAATCAAGAAGAATTTGATTGAAGTTCTTGAATTCTGAAAATCTGGGAAAAAATTTCAAAATAAATAAAGGAAAAGATTAAAAAGCTCTCCCTACAGACCCAACTAATTTCATTTTTCGAATTTTCGAAACCCATAACTCTCTTAACAAATGGCTACCAACATGGTGGCGCACAAGCTCCACTCACCCAAATTTCCGACCGTCGATGCTAATAAATCTTCTGTTTCAGCTTCGGGTTTGCTGTTTTTCGGCTCGAATTCACTGAAAAAAATTGTGGGCTTTGAATCAAAATCCAATCTTTACAGTCAAGAAGACGAGTCAATTGAAGGTTTTGGCTTCGGTTGCGACGGCGGAGAAGCCCTCGACAGTACCCGCGATCATCCTGCAGCCCATCAAAGAAACCTCCAGCATCGCTAAGTTGCCGGGCTCTAAGTCACTTTCCAACCGCATTTTGCTTCTATCTGCTCTGTCTGAGGTGCGTTTCTTACTTGTGCTTAGTTTTGATTATGGTTATGGGTATTTATGCGTCTTTCTTATTATCCAAGTGTGTGTCTGCGTGTATATGAAAAAATGTGCTGCATTATTGATCTATGTCGAAGTTGAAAATGCATCGTTTTTGTCACTTCGCCTTTTTTTAGCCTAGTGCAGCTTCATAATGGAAAAGTGACTTTTCAAGACCACGAGATTGTATTGTTTTTATTTCTTTGATTAAGTTCAGTATTCTATCCTTGAGTAAAAATGTTGATGTCTAGATATTTGCAATTGCACGAGCATTAAGCTTGATTTGAGGTGTATTTGGACTTCAGTTGTGCGTGTAATTTACTCTGTTTGATACTCATTATTTTTGCTTCTGAAATGTTTATGCCTATGTTTTGCATATTTGTTTAATTGCTGATTCCAATGTCATTCTACGACGAACAAAAGAGCTAATTTGGATGCCACTTTAAGTGGGCAAAACTCATTTCCGTTCGGTTGGGGACTTAATGCTTGAAATACTGTTGGTTCTTGGGGTTTAAAAAAAGACTTTTATGATTGATTTAACATGAAAATATGATAGTTCCTTGAAATGACACTTAAGTAGGCATGGTTTTGTATTGCCTCGAGTTGAATATTTAAAATGTGCTTGATAATTAGGTTATGTGTTTTGGGTGGCGTTCTGTGCACTTTTCTTAACCAGGGAACAACGATTGTTGATAACTTACTAAGCAGTGATGATATTCATTATATGCTTGGTGCCCTGAGGACTCTTGGACTTCATGTGGAGGAAGACAAAGCCAACAAACGGGCAATTGTGGGAGGGTATAGTGGTCTTTTTCCAGTCGGTAAGAAAACCGAGCAAGAAATTCACCTTTTCAAAGGAAATGCAGGAACAGCTATGCGTCCATTGACTGCTGCACTTGTTGCCGCTGGTGGGAACTCGACGTATGTTATTTGCCTCTTTTTTTCCCTTTTAGGATTTTTACGCCTTTATTATAATTTTTCATAATGGTAACATATGTTGTGATATTTGAAAAACTCAACTAAATTAAGTATTTATTGAGATTATATTTGCACATTTAAGCTCGATTTGGTTATGATTTTTCGTGGCTTTCCAGATATGCGCTTGACGGGGTTTCTCGAATGTGAGAGAGGCCAATTGGAGATTTAGTTACCGGACTTAAGCAGCTCGGTGCAGATGTTGATTGCTTTATGGGCACAAATTGTCCTCCGGTTCGTGTTGTTGGAAAAGGTGGTCTTCCTGGGGAAAGGTTGGTTTTTCTTCAGTTGAAATAATATCCATGGCTCCTTTTAAATTTTTTATAAGGTCAATTTTCAGTTGAAATAATATTAAAGGGTGGTCAATTTTCTTCCATGCTAAACACAGTGAGTTGGTTGTTTTTTTTCTTTTGTTTTGTTTTTTGGTGAAGAAAAGAAAGAAGTCCTCACTGTTCAGTAGTTGGATTATAAAATCGAACGATTGATTTGGTTCTAAAGGGAAAAAACTTCTTACACAAGACTTATGATGATTCACATATGAAAATGTAAATGTGGGATCGTGGGTTTTCTCCCTAATGCGAACTCTGAAATGATATATTTGTATATATAACTTACTTTGGCAGGTGAAACTCTCGGGATCGATAAGCAGTCAATACCTGACAGTTCGAGCTAAATTTGTTGAAATATCACTTGTGAGTTGTCTCACATTAATTTTATTGGGAAAATGAGTTTAGTATATAAGCCTAGTGGGTTAATCCTTCCAGCACTAATTGGTTTTGGGTTGAAACTTCACTAAGGTGCATCTAGGCTTACCTTCTTATGGTGCGCTTCATCTGGTGGGACCGCACCATCTCCCCGGTTATAATGAAACTAGTAGATATCTTGTGCACATGCACAGATGTATATAAAATATTACTAAGTAATATTTGAGAATTTAATATTAAAATTCTCAAAAATTTGATCATTAGGAAAAAAAAAATAACGATTTTATTATTATGAACAATTGTTTATTATCATTAGATAATAACAGTTTGATTGTTATTATTATTATTATTATTATTATTATTATTATTATTATTATAACAATTGTTTATAAGCTTCTAAAGTTGTTTGACTATGCTATTAAAACAATTTACTAATTGTTTTTAAAGAAATTTTTTCATGAGATACAAAAGAAAAAGATAATATTGATGTTAATATAAATAACTTTAAACAATTGTTTATAATTATGTAATTTATATTTATTGTGAATTATTATTAGTTGGTATTAGCAATAACTATTATATAATATAATAAAAAAATACATGATTACACTTAATAGGATGTGTTAATGTGAGAAGTAAAAAAATATTAACGATAAATATCGTAACTGAAAATAGAGGGAAAATTTTAGAGGTTTTATTATATAGGTAAAATTATATGCTAAGCTAGCAATTATATATATATATATATATATATATATATATATATATATATATTACTAAAAAACAATTGTTTATATGATTCTAAAGTTGTTTAACTATGCTATTAAAACAATTTATTAATTGTTTTTAGAGATTTTTTTTTTAAGATACAAAAGACAAAGATAATATTGATGTTTAAATACATAACTTGAAACAATTGTTTATAATTATGTAATTTATATTTATTGTGAATTATTATAAGTTGGTATTAGCAATAATTATTATATAATATAATAGAAACATACATGATTACACTCATTAAGATGTATTAATGTGAGAAGTAAAAAATATTAATGACAAATTTTGTAACCGAAAATGGAGGGAAAATTTTAGAGGTTTTATTAAATGTTTTATTAAATGTTACATGCGAGCAATTATATATATATAGATTTTATTGGGAAAATGAGTTTAGTATATAAGCCTAGTGGGTTAATCCTTCCATCACTAATTGATTTTGGGTTGAAACTTCACTAAGGTGCATCTAGGCTTACCTTCTTATGGTGCGCTTCATCTGGTGGGACCGCACCATCTCCCCGGTTATAATGAAATTCAAACCGTAACGAGTTTAGTTATTCAAAATTAGGTAAAAATATCTATCCAATTCACACACAAAATTTAATTCAACTTTAATTCAATTGCACTATCTTCAATATTATTGATTTATTTAAATAATATCAAATAATCATTCATATACGTTACATCGATTTTAATTTGCTATTCATATGCTCATATAATTTTAACTAACTATCACTTTATATCATCTCTTTTCTAGGTTTACATCAAATCAACTTTAATTAATTTATTTTAAATATTATGTTAATACAATCTCAAAATTTCACTAATAACTAATCATACCAAAGTTTTCAAAAATAACATTGATTAACAAAAAAAATAAAAATAAATAAACTCATTTTGAGTAGGTATATTTGTATACAAACACCCTACCTTGTGAAGGAGATGAATTTTTTATTCTTCCCAATCAAATATAGGTGAAATTAAAATAAGTGAAAAAAAAATTAACCTCTCAAACTATGCCGATTTTTAGAGTTTGCGTTACACAATTATTTTCTTGACAATTTGTCTTTCAAAGTAATCGAAACTAACAATTTGCCTCCTCGATTGAAAATTCTAATATGACACAAAAAGTTTTTAACTCAATTAGCGATAAATTTTAAATTGATCTTCAAAATTGATTTAAGACTTTTAAAGCACATGACGAGACGAACGAAATGAGATATAGTTTGTCGATTTCTGAAATTGATACATCTGTATTCGATTTACGAAGATAGTAGGAACATGTATGTATAGAAAAAAAAAATCAAATTCAAGTTTTTTGAAGATCAAGTTATCCGATTTTTTTTTATTATTAAAATGTGTCAGTTGAAAGCTTGGAAGACGAGTTTTCTAACGAAGTAAATCTTATAAAAATTCAACGGTCGGATTTTGGTTAGTAGCATAAAAAAGGTTAACTATTGATCAGCAGTTTTCTAACCACTGATCAAAATCCGACCGTCGGATTTTCATAAGATTTACGCATTACAAAATTAGTCCTGGAAGCTTTCAAATGACACATTCCAATCGAAAATCGGATATCTTGATTATCAGAAAACTTGAATTAATACTTATTTTCATGCACATGTATTTATACTATCTTCGTCGATCGATTACAGAAATTAATTTTTAAAAAGTTACAAACTATACCTCATTTTGTTTTAAATCAATTTTAAAGATCAATTTAAAATTTATCGTTAATTGAATTAAAAAGCTTTTTGTACCATATTAGGATTTTTAATCGAGGAGACAAATTGTTAGTTTCGACTACTACATGAGTCAAACTGTAAAAAAAAGTTCTTAAAGTAAACTCTGAAAATCGACATAGTCCAGGATGTTAAAAAAAAAAAAAAAATTACCTTAAAATAACGGACAATGCTACCATCCCGTTACGGGATAGTTCCGTTGTACTTTTAAGTGTTGGATTAACTACCCATCACTAGATTACATGTATATCTATGGCTAGAAAACACAACGGAACCATCCCGTAACGGGATGGTAGCATTCTCCTAAAATAACATAGAAAGAATAAAATAAGAAATTTATTCGCCTCACATTCACATCACACTAATGAATGTCGCCGACATTACAGGTGCCATAAAGTCTTTGGAACATGACGACAATTAATAAGACGAAAATGAAAAGAGAAAACAAAACGAACAGTCTTTATTAGAACATAAATAAATGTGTTCCCTTTCACATAGTTGGCACTATTGAGTTCTCTCATCCAATGGACCAAAATCAAATTCTGTGTTCCCATCTTGGCTTTTCCTGATTTTTTTTATCCAATACTAATTTAAATAAAATAAAATTTATAATTAATTAATTAATTAACCTTTTGTACTTTTAATAATAGTTTTATTTTTTTAAATTCAACGATAAAAAACTCGATGATAATAATATTATCAAATGTCCCTTTTACATAAATTTTCACGGGTACACATTAAATTATAGTTCTTTTTATTTCAAAACAATAAAAAAAAAATGAAGAAAATTGATTGTGATCTGTCTAGCATTGTTAACCATAATGCAGAATAGTGTAAATTCTAGTATGTTCGGTTCACCGACAGCATATATTAATGTAAAGGAATATATTAACTGCACTTAATTACCTTAATCTAAGCCGAGATTTACCGCATAATAATATATTTAAAATTAACGTAATCACTACCAACATGATAAAATTAACTTAATCACTACCAGTATTTAATATTTACGTGCGTGGTGAGGGGAGTGTGTTATAATAATTAATTAATTAATTGATCTTTTGTACCTTTTTATTTCATTTTTTGTATGAAAGAGAGAATATATAATGGAATAAAGTTCTTTAAAATATTCCTTTAATTTGTGGGTGTGCAATTCAATTAGAGTTATAATATTAGTAAACCAAAACATCGTGATTATAGTTTACAAATGTGTAACTATGGAAAAAGGAAAAAATGATACATTACTTTCATAATTTGAAATATAAATAAACGTATGACATTTCATAGTATAAGTGCGTATTTTTTTAAAGTATGATGAGTCAACTCGTTTTTTGTTAAAGATATACATCGAGTCCGGTCATCTAACGTTATATATCATTTAACACAATAAATTTTTGAGTGTAATATGATTCTTGAAAGTTTTTAGAATCAATTATTTTGGGTTAAAAAGGAGAGATAATTTATCAAAATAAAAAAATATAAAATTACAAAGAATTAAAGGGTTATATTAGTAAAAGTGATATTAAAATACTTAAGTTAACTAAATAATATTTATGGAATGTCCAAACCTAGATTATTAATTATTAATATATCAATATTATTTGTCCAAAACTAACTACGAAGCATGATTCTTCGCCAAGTAAAATTCCGAAGCACCAGAAGCAGCCACGTAGGCTCAGCGCATTCTGGAATTATATATAAGGAGGATTTATTTGTTGGCCTTCCAATTTTTGAACACCATTTATTTATACTTTTGAAGTCCCATAAAATGGACTTCCACTAGAAGCAATTGTAGTTTGGTAGAGTAATTATTTGATGAATAATTAAAAAATAATCAACATTATTCACAAACATAAACATGTTCACATGCCAAACAAAAATAAATGGGACACATGTTAAGAATGGCCAAGCAAAAGGGTGGAGATAAAAAGAGAGAAAGGGTCATGTTATTGACTTTGTTAAGCACAAATTTATGCACCATACAATGATTGATTGATCAATCTCAACTTACATTGAAACCCTATTAATAACTCAACTATTTTACATCATGTTTGTGAATTTGATTGGGACTGCTAGATCTGAAACCTAGTGGTGGAATATATTATATATTTTTAAGGAAAAATAATAATTGTTCATCATCTTTACAATTTATTTTTATCAAAATTTATTTTATTTATATATGTCTTTGAGTCATGTGTATGCTAGCAAGTACAATCGATTTGTTATTATAGTTGTTGATAATCGACCTGGTGAACCCTTAAATTCAAATATAAACAGACACTAATCTGAAGTAAGTTCAAAGTAGGATGAACTCGGTTCAAACCAAATGAAGAATAGACTTTAATTCTCCCATCCACGACAACCGACCTACGCGATGAAACCGAGTTCGAAGCTGGTGACGAGACGCCTATGCGATTAATTGCCCAAGCCGCCCGTCACACATGCCGTCACCATAACATGTAGGCCTAGTTATAGTACAACTTCCTCCATAAAGCTACTTTGCATTAAATGCAGGCGTACCAACCCCGACCATCGAGCTTGCTAAAGTTACTATAAATAACCGAATCTATTATTGTACGAGGATCCTTTTTTCGGTGATAACAAACTTACATGTAAAATCAATTCGGTTCATACAAAAATCAACTTCGTATAACTGATCGATCTTATACAATTTTTTTGTCTATAATCTCTTTATTGTCGTTAATTCTCGCATAACAACAATAGTCAAGTAATTAACTAGTCGTAATTTGGACAAAAATTACTAAGGCTAAGTTTGGTAGACCAATAAGCTAACTTATAGCTTATTGATTAGCTTATAAGCTCTCTGTATTTGAAAAAGCCCTGTTTGGTAGGACGAGGTTATTTAAAAAACTCGAGCTTATTTGATAAGCTTCTTTAGGTAGCTTTTCAAATAAGCTAGCTAGTTGATTTTTTTATTCCAGCTAGCTTATCATCTAATTTTACCAAACACTTTTATCATATAAGCTAGCTTTTCAGCTATAAGTCTTAAGTTATAAGCTATAAACTCGAAATTACTGATAAGCTATAAACTAACTTATCAGCTACCAGCTAGCTTATCAGCTAGTTTTACCAAATATAGCCTAATTATTATGTATCAGCTACTAACCACAAGTTAATAGTTTTATACAATCAACTAAGCCAATCAAGTATCTTTTGATCATTATTTAAATAATATATATTTATTTATGTGAAAGAAAAATAACTATTGATTTTATAGCAAAACTGTATGTTAGTATGTGTGATCCAACTATTAAAAAGCTAATAATTCTAGTATAATAGTACTTGCACATAATCAAGATCCATACAAACAAATAAAATATAATTAAAGACTTCATGGAGT